GGGCACAATCCGCCTCGACATAACCCCCATTGTTTAACGAAAATAAATTCAAACCCCCTCTCTACACCAAAAAAAATCAAACTCAAAATCAAAACTTCATATATACAATTTTGCGGAAAACTCAACAACCCGTATGATCAAATACATCTAAAATTCATCAGAACTTTCAAACCAATGTGTTCTCATAGTCTTGTCAATAAAGTCCAAAGCAAAAGCTCAAAACCCAGTTAAGCTTAGCAGCATTGGAGACGTTTGTAAGTTCCCAAATGCGTTTTGAACGTCTTAAGAATTAAAACGACCGACAAATTGAAGGCTCGAGATAGTTCAGAATTCAGAAAAAAATAGTAACTCCAACAAATTGAAGCCAAATTCCCAAAGACAAACCGATACATACCAATTCTAAACGCAGATAATTCCACTTTTTGGCACAATTAATGGCTTGCGATCGCGATCTAGAGTACCGAGGACGCCAAAAGTTGACAAAAACAACGTTTCAAATTTAATTGTAATATCAATTTATTTCCAGAACATTGACGTGAAAAATAATTGGAATTATTAATTGGAAAAAACAAATTGGTGAATTTACCTTAGAATATAGCCAAGGGGGAGGCAGAGGCGTCAAATCCCCCCAGGCTTTGTCTTTTCTCTTTCTCGGGCATTAATATGGAAAAAATGTCTGTTAAATTGGATTTTGGTTCCTTGTGCAATAATTACAAAATAAATCAAACAAATTATTATAAAACTGCTATTTCTTATTCTTTATTGACAAACTTTTTTATATTTCTCTTTTAATGTTTTTTTTTATACAAGCGATATTGGGTATGGAAAAATCAAACCTAAGATCTCAGTGCTAAGGGTAAATGCTATTAAGCTACAAGTCCCTTGTGTTTCTATATGATATCAAAACTTGAAATCCTATTTAGTAAATTTGTGTATTATATATGGGTGTAATTTCAAATAAATTATAATTTTTCATATATTCTTTAGTAGTACAATAAAAAGAAAATTAAAGGAATTTGACAGAAATTGAAAAGTATCTGTATATTTCTTAATTGAAAACTACAATAATAAAATTTATAAAATTAAAACTACAGGAACTAAAGTGATAAAATCAACAAGGACCAAAGTTACTTTTGGTCTTCACATTTCGATCATTCACATCGTGCACTCGGATGATTTTAAAACTTAAAAAGTACTATAATTTAATAATAATGCCCAACTTTTCCGTTCTTTTTTTCCCCAAAAATTTTTTTTGAAAAAAAGAAGGATATATAAATACCCAAATACACACATATAAAGTATTACTGACTGTCATACCTAATAGTCGTTTTGGCAACCTAACTGTCTACCTACATATTTTTGCAAAGTATTTATAGTCTCCATACACTTTTTTTTTTGGGTTACAATTGAATCTCTATAAAAATATTTTTGGTTAGAATACGGGAATGAGTAAGGATTCTATCCGTTCTAATGTAACA